TCTTTTAGCTTTTGGTGTAAGAGTTTTTGATGAAATGAGCAAGAAATAACAAAGGCCTGGGTGTCTAATCAAAGATGCATTATTGCTTTATTATGTTATGAGATGAAAAATCCCATCAAGCCTAATCCTTAATCTGTGTAATGAAAATCTGACTCATTTTTCTATTTCTTGGTTTTTTTTTTGGGGGGTTTTGGAGATGACAATAATGCTAAGGAGCCAACTGTTGACTCCGTTATCAAGCCAACAACCAATTATACAATTCCATGTGGAGCTGTCCCACATACTTTAATGTGGCACAGCCCCACATGGAGCTGTCCCATTAGCTGTTAGCTCCGTAACGGAGTCAACAGTTGGCTCCTTAGCATTAGTGTTGGAGATGATATTTCTTTTTTCTTTTACTTTTTCTTTTTTGGGTAAGGTTTAATTGATTTCTACATTCATCTCTTTGAAATAAACATAAATTATTTTTTTTTTTGAAAAAACAAACACTACTAATTTTATTTCATTTTATTTTTTTCCTATAGTTCTCAGTAACATTGTTCAAAATTAAAATTACTTATGATTATTTTTAGTACACATACTATTCATCTATTTACATAGTTTTTACTATCATCATATTAATTATAATTATGTCACACCAACTTTCATAATTCTATTTTTATATCACGATATTCATTCACAATTTCAAATTTATCTTTTTTTTTTTTCTCTAAAATCAAGATTTTCACTTGTTTAGCAAGACAATAAGGGGTGATTGTTTACAAGATAATTTACTCACTTTTATTTCAACTCAAAATCTAACTCAACTTTAACTCAACTCCACTATCTTTAATATTATTCATATAATTAAATAATGCAAACCAATCATACTTACACATCTTTAATTCACTATTCATCCACTCACATAATTTTAACTACCTATCATTTCCAATCATTTATCTCTTACGTTTACATCAAATGAATTTTAATTATTTTATTTTAAATATTATTTTAATACATTTTTAAAATTCCACTACAATTAATCATACCACATTTTTCAAAATTAACTATAGTTAACCAAAATGACTCAATTTGAACAAATTATTTTATAAACAGTCAAGCCCTAAGTTTTTCAAAAAGATCTTCTGGTAATTGAAACTTGCAATTATATGTATAAATATATATAAGTGTGTGTGTGTGTGTTCTCTAAAATCAAGATTTTCACTTGTTTAGCAAGACAATAAGTTTTTCAAAAAGATCTTTTGGTAATTGAAACTTGCAATTATATGTATAAATATATATA